GAAGGCTCGAAACCAAACTTATTCACAAACTTTTCCCACCTAATATAGAATAATATATTTCTTCAAATACCGAACAAATACAAAGTCATACATATCATTTGCCAAAATAAAAGAGAAAAAAAAATGAACTGACCACATGAAAAGAAGTTGCCAGTCCTGCTGCAAACCGGATGCTTTATAAACATGCCTATGTCTTCTCCTCCTGAGGGCCAATTAAATCAATTTCTGGGAGTGGGCCAGGCATTAATATTTTTTAAAGTTTCCCCAGGAGCCCAGCCAGCGTGGCTCAGAGGCTGAGCATCTACCTATGATCCAGGAGACATGCCCGGGTTGTGGGCTTGACCCTCAGTAGGGGGCATGCAGGAGGCAGCTAATCAATGACTCATCACTGATGTTTCTATATCTCTCTCCCTCCCACTCTCTGACATCAATAAAAATATATATTTAAAATAAATAAATAAAGTTTCCCCAGGTGACTCCGTGGTGAGAGTTGAGGAGCACTAATTGCTTGTTTGAAGCCTCTGGACCCTCCTTTCCTTCACTTCCAAACACAGACACAGGAAATAGACAACTGAGTAGCAGAGCGCAAAGTATAGACCTCCCGGTCTGCCCCGCTCACCAACATTTGCATTTCCAAACATGCTCCAAAAATTTAAAAACTGGTTCCAACTGGGATCATCAACAGGTGACTTTAGGCTGTAACACCCAGGTCAAAAGTGTCAGGACCCTAAATAGGAAAAGAGGCCGTCTCTAGCAGGTGGTCTCCAACAGGTGTTTGGTCCAATCTTTTCTCAGCTTGAGTCACCACCAGTCAACACCCCAGGACCTTCCAAGTTCCCAGAGCCCATACCTTGTACATCTCCAAGATATGACAAAGGTAAAAAGCCACTGCCACACACAGACACACCACAAAGTTTGTTTCTCCAGTCCAAAACCCTTTCCAGGCCCAGCTGGACATGGCTCAACAGTTGAGCATCAACCTAGGATCCAGGAGATCATGGTTCGATCCCCAGTCCAGGATGTGCAGGAGGCAGCCAATCAATGCCTCTCTCATCATTGATGTTTCTTTCACTCTCTCTCTCTCTCTCCCCCTCCCTCCCTCCCTCTTCTTTCCTCTCTCTGAAATCAATAAAGATACATTTAAAAAAACAAAACTCTTTCCAAGATTTTTTATGCCAGGAGCAAACCAAAGCAAGTGAACTGTAAAGGGAGGAAGTGTATTATCTTTAATCATGGAAGCATGTTAACATGCTGGTCTATAAAAAACAAACAGCTGATATTCCCCTACCTTGCCCTGCTGGACTCCGATCAGATAGTGACTTGGACATGATTATTTTATAACTTAGGGTTCCCAGGACATTTTGTGTATCTGACTTCCTTGTGTTCCCAAAATCCCTCAGCAGATCCCCTTCTCCTAGCCTGAGATGGGAGACAGAAATCATTTTTGGCCAGGTTCTCACATGCTCCACAGCGAGCCACACAGAACTGCCGGGACAGTGGGAAGATGCAGCAGTTGGGCTCTAACATTGCTGGTGTCTGAGTAGGAGCACCTAGAATGGGGGTCTGCAAACTATGGCCTGTGCTGTTTTCCTGTGGCTCTCAAACTAAGAGTGGATTTTACATTTGTGAAATGCTTGGGGGGAAAAAAAAAGATCTCATGGCACGTGTAAATTATATTAAGTTCCAATTTCAGTGTCTATAAACTTTTATTGGCACACAGCCACACTTGTTAACGATTGCATTTTGCACGTGGCTGCTATCTCTGTTAACAGAGTTGAGTAGGTCTAAGACAGGATGACTGCAAAGCTTAAATACTTACTATCTGACCCTTTACAAAGTATGCTGACCCCTGACCTAAAAAGCCAAGCTTGCCTTTCATTTTTGCATACCCAGTGCTCTTATAAATGCAACAAATTTGAAAACGTGAAAAAAATTTACAGCTACGTAGCTAAAAGTTCATCACAATGAGCCTTGTTCCTAAAAGGTCAATGATTAAATTTGTATTATTTTGGGGGAGAAGGGGGAGTCATAGACCATTTAAGATGCTGCTCTGTGTTCCCTTTAAAGCATCACTAAGAAGATTCAATGTATTTTAAAAAATGAGTTTGCTGTTTGAATTCTTTATGGTTAACTCAGAGCTTACAGCTTCCTGTCTTCCTGCAGAAATATTAACCCCTCGTTTCTCCCTTGGATAAGGGGACCCATTGTAGTGCTGAGGACAGGACCCCCAAGTTACTGAAGGGTGGATGAAGAATGCATCTTTGTTGTCTTCCTTCTGTGAAGGCCTGCTTGCTGATGGCCCAGCGTGGGATCACAAGCCCTGCTCTTCAAGCCTGCGAAAACTAAGGCTGGGAGGGAGAGATTGGCAAGGGAAAGGAAGTCCTAACAAATGTCTGTGCGGGCGTAGGTGCACGCGTTCTAACCCTTAAATACAGGCACACGTGTGACCAGCCCTCCTGATCCCTTTTGCTTTTTCCATCTGACACCAGGGGCGTCCATCCAGCCTTTCACCTTGTGGGCCACCCCTGCCGCTCCCGCAGTGCTGGCAGGTCAGAGGGCCTCTCGCGTCTTCCCAGCGTCCTGGCCTCACACCCCAGCTTCAGATTTCCTGGAAAGTCTGCGAGAGGGAGGGTGGGGAAGCTCCCCTCGCGGTCGCGGTCTCGGGTTCGGGTTCGGCAGGACACAGCCCTGACAGGCTCGCCGAGATCTCTGCAGAATGCTTTCCAGCTGAAGCGGCCGTTTGCGGTCTCAGCAGACCCTGTCCCAACCAGCCTCCCCCCGGGGCCCGGGTTCAGAGCGCAGC